ACCAACCAAATCATAGTAGGCGGATGTGATGAAATAGCCTTGATCTCTGTTGATTGATGGCTGGTGGCGGCGAATGTGGACTGCTTCTGTTAGTTTTCTTTAGTGAAATAATGGAGGTTGTTGGAGAGGATTTGGACGTTGTCCCAGTTGATGTTGTGATTAGGGCAGTTGCTGATATGGTCCGAGATGGCTGATTTACTGTCTGATTTGATAGTTGGGGTTCAAGCCTAAAGGTGTATATTAGTATTATGTATGTATATATATTAACAAAGACGTATCAATATTTCTTCATAAATGTAAGTTTGTTTCTTGAGCGGTATTTACCAATCATCTTGGAGTTGTGATTAGGGCAGTTGCTGATATGGTCCGAGATGGCTGATTGGCTCTCTGATTTGATAGTTGAGGTTTTGTGCTCTTTGATTCTGGTGTTGATGGGGCGGGATGTTTCACCTACGTAGGATTGTCCACAGTTGCAGTTAATTGATTCATTCATTGGTTATTCGTTACTTTCGTTCATTCATTCGGGTTTGGATATTACTCACGCTGGTTTGTCGTCGCTTCACTCTGCTGGTTTGTCAGGCTAGCTCCTCGCCTTACTGCTTCAACTTCATTACCATGTCTGTAAAAGTTCGAAGCATAAACAAATCCTTACCCAGTGTCTTTGTCGGGGTCATTCTACCCCTCTTGTCATACACGGTGGCCAGTTACACCCCCACGGCCGATCTATCAGGTGGATTAAGGTAGATCCTAATCTCCTTCGACACCAACAACCCCAAGAAGCCCAAAGTTCGGACCACGTCTCTACACTCAGAGCCCGTAAACCTACCCTCAGGCACAGCTACCGATCACCCATCCCCCATATCCCCCATATCCCCCATACCCCCCCCCCCCCCCCCCCCCCCCCCCCCCCCGCCACACACACACACAGACTATCACCGAAGCGCAAGCGCAAGTATGCTCAGCTAAGCACACCCACCAACCCAATTCGGACCGGTCAACACAGACTCAACAAAGTACACCTACTATCATACCTTCTCAAGCCCAATCCACTCAGACCCAAAAAACACCAACCACTCTTCCCTCTACTAAAACAAAAACCCTTGAACACCTCATGAACACCTCAGCTCACTTTATCAAAAAAACAATATCACCCTCTCACTGTCTTCGACTTCAAACTGGCTAGAACCCTCCTCTCCGGCTCTCTCGCCACATGCACCTAAAAATACCAACATATCAATCAATACCCCACCCCAGCCAGTTTAGGCTTACATTAGGCTCTTATACCCTTTTTCGTTCTTTATTATAATCTCATATTCTACATTGCAGCTTAACTGCAAATATATCAACCCCATTATGCTTTACCTTTTCTTCAAGTATAGCTTACAATTACTAGGATAGATTATATAGCACTTTCTACTCTTTTCAGGCCTTAAATTATTCATTCAAAATATACCTCTCTTAATATATTACCATTTAACTTATCTCTTTTCATTTATACCTTAATACACTTGTTGTACATTATAGCCGTAGTTGTATAGGATTAGGTTAATGCCCCTTTCATTTACTGTTTTTTGGGTATGTTGTTTACCTGTTTTAAAACATTATTTATTCTTTTATTTTCCCCACCTACCCCGACCGTGAAATTGCCAGTGGTAGAAGCGTTCGTTAAACTTCCAAAACAGACAGAGAGACAGTCAATTGTATAAACTACACCTTTAGGCCCTGGGGGTTTGGTTGTGTTCCTGCCTTTGGCTCTTAGTAGAGTACTGAGGGAGGTGGAACTTGTGAAATAGGTGTCAATATTGGCTTGCTGTTTGAGGCTGATGATGTTGGAGGCATTTCCTATGCTTAACAATCCCCTCTCCATGGGTGTTCATCTTGATGGTATGTAGTCGTACCATGCTGCGATCATGATTTGATACGAAACACTCTCTTATTCTCATTATTCAAGCAACTGGTATCTTTCAAATTCTTTATAGTGAGGATAGCTAAAGTATTCCAAAGTTATTGGATGTGTAGTATATCCCGACGGCATGTCACAAGTAAACAATCTAATGTGATTTCAGTGTTATGTAGTTAAGCATTATAGATACGTATCATTGCAGTGTAACCGTTCTTCCTCGGTCATATTCCTTCAACATATTTCCTCAACATATGGTTAATGTATTCATCTGGAACAGGTTGAATTCTTCGGCTTGTAGCACGTTGCTATGGTGTGATGTTAGGACCATTATTTATTCAAATAAATGCTTTGTAGCCACATCAAATTTGTGGACATAACATATATTCCTTTCGAAAACTCTTCTGTAGCACTATCACAATATGAGAATTTATTCAAAACGTATTTCTCCCTAACTTATGCTGTAACAGCTATAATGTTCCTTGAGATCATGTTCTTGTGGAAATGAAGTTTTATCACAGCATTAATAATAACGATCAATGCAATTAGGTGACTGCAGACATATATGCGTCATGGCAGCAAGGTAATAAGCCTTTGTTCGTTCAGACAAAGGTTGTCCAATACCATGACACACGTAATACCGATATAACATAACATGGACATAACATATATTTCTTTCGAAAACTCTTCTGTAGCACTATCACAATATGAGAATTTATTCAAAACGTGTTTCTCCTTAACTCATGCTGTAACAGCTATAATGTTCCTTGAGATCAGGTTCGTGTGGAAATGAAGTTTTATCACAGCATTATTCACGTAAAACAACGAGCAATGCAGTCAGGTGACTCCAGACATAAACGCGTCATGGGTACAAGGTAAAAAGCCTTTGTTCGTAAACCACTAGTAAGGTTCTCATCCAGTACATGTGTTTTATGCTGACAAAAACGACGAATCATGTGGTCACCGACGGTATTGATCATCTTTGTTGCAGTGGTGTTATAACAGCCGAAGGTCACGCTTTTGTAAATGGAATTTGACATGATTTGTCATCCACCTGTTTCATTGATCGTTGCAGAAAGGCATTATCCATCATTATAAAATGTATACACCAAGTGTCACGTGTATGTCACTGATCATGATGAACATTAGGATAATGGTGCTCGCGTCTTATTGTACCTAATACCAAATATCCTGATGTACGATACGATAGCATGGATTACGCGCGACATAATATAGGAAGTGACACTGACAAATACCAGTGTACAGTATCTGTCCCGGCCATAAAAGTCTTTGTATTTAAGTAGGTTTCTCCAGTATAAACAGTGGAAAGGATAACATTAACTGTTGCCGCTATTTATGCGACTCTAACAAATCTGATATATATGTACAGTTATATAGCATAACTAGATAGTATAAAAAAATTCAACCAGTCTTTTGAAGACTCAAACATTGTTTGATCAAGGTTAAAACATTCAAGGCCTCAGTAAAACTATGAAAAAGTCTTATCAATGACATATGGAGGACATTTCAAAATTTGAGGCAAGTGACAAACATGATGCAATCCAATGTCATTCCCTGTTTTGACTTGTACCGTATGTTCTCGAGTCTATTTCAGGTGAACTATTGACTTGCCTTTGCTTGTGTTTGTGACGGGTGACACCGGTTTGGCGGGGTTTGCTAACCTTTTCCCGAACACATGGTATCACCACTATCAGTGGGGTGCATGCCTGGGTGCAGGGGTTGCACGACAGGGGGCAAGGGTTGCATGTGATCGCACCACATGAAATCACGACCCCAAGTCGAAATATAGACTAAGACATATGTTATATTTGTTGCTGATGAAGGCAATACCTATCTTCAGGTGAGGATTGTCTTTTGCACAAGTATATGATGTATATGATCTCAAGACTGAATACGCAGGTCAGATTCACAGGTCACTTTAGCGTTCAAATATCAGTTTCTACCCTGTGGATTGCTTTATTAACAAGTATTTCTATTTTATGTGATTGGAGAAAGGAGTGTCCCAGAGATTAGAGGGGTATCTTTACTAAAGAGAGCTAACCTTGTTAGGATCAGTTGATATAATACGTAGTGACATGTGGACTCTTACACAGTAGAAACTATTCCTGAGGTTAATGTGTGATGCTTTCGGACCACAGTGCGAAACAGTGATTTCTCTCCCCATTATGAGTTAGCATCCTGCTACACTGATAGTCACATTGCAGTACTGTATATCTGTAATAGCCTATCTGCCAATTCATAACTCAAGTGTCCCTTACGCTTTTATATACTTCATGTAATAACTACACCCTGTGCTTCTATGGTGTATTTAACTTGTATCTCCATGCTCTTAGTGACATTATTGAGTAAAAATGTAGGCTCTTCGGTAGTTGTTGGAGAATCCAAAGGAAAAGAGTAATCATTGACGGATGTTAATGTAACATTCCATATCCAAGTATCTACTTAAAGCAGAGTCGATCGTAAGAAATGTCTAGTTACACGTGCGTTATACCTAACATAGGTAAGCATGATTACATCAATTGTTTAAATTAATCAAATAAATTAGAGTAATTGAGATATTAAATAATACCATTTATAAGGCCATTATGTTAACCTTAGAAATAGATTCTACTATGTGAGACTCCGATTAGGTGCCTCACTCTGAGTTTGGGGTCAAAGCCTAGATGGAATCCCAAAAGTACTACAATTTGTACTTTACTCAGAAAGTGTAACCAAAAAACAACATTTGTTACAAGTGACTGATTTCTAAAAGGCATTATTTGTTCGTACAGTTACCCATACACAGTGACACTCACTGACGGTGACACGTGTTCAGTCAACTACTGCTTTCTCTTCACATGTTTCAATTACTGAAGTAAGTGAAGTTTCGATGACTATAACTTGCAAGCGTTATCATCAACATGTCATTCCTCAAGCTCGTCATCACATTGCCTTGAGGATGTATGTGTTTTTGTCAGTTTTAGCAATATTCCAGTATTCCAGCGGCTTGGGGTACCAGGAAGTGGTTTCACACATTCTACCCATGCCAAATGTCGAGCTAATTACATTTTAAATATTACCAATACAAAAAAAAACCACATTCGCTTTTTGTGACTTTATGTATGTTCATTCTCTTCTCGTTACACAGATAGAGGAATTGGACATATTGAGTTTCGCTTGTCCACATGATTATTCTGAAAGCAAAAATAGATAGTTGTCAATACTATGTAAAGGATGTACACGCATCATCAAGTTTACACAGATATTAATGAGATAAACCAGTGTGTGTATGTGTATTGATTGACATTGTACTTATATGGGGTGAAAAAGAATTTCGGATACATACAGGCATCTTTTGGAACATTTACAATCTTTGAGGAACATAACAACACAAGACTTAAAAGCATTCAGCATTATTTAGGTATATTCATTTTAGGCCCACATGATCGGCCCAGTTAAAGAAAAGAGCAAACATTTAGAAATTGTTGTGAAAGTCATCAGGTTAGTGAATGTTGTCCATACGTTTGCTATCATTTTTAATGGATTTATCTTGAAATCAGTTTTTAAGACGTTTTTAAGACATACTGTTACCTTTTCACATTTTAAACGCGAATTTCGTGAACGAACAGTTCGATGAAATGTTAAATACATATATATAAATGGACATCAATCCTTTTTTCAAATCGATACTAGTAGTTGATGCCTAAATATGTGATATTTAACTGAAACCATGTTCCATCATGTTGAATGTCAACGTATGTATATTGATTCTACAACTATGATGTAGGGCTTAACGTCTCACCCATCTCGAGATCTGCATCTTCCCGGACGTGACGCTGGTAGAGGCTGATGTCTTCCTTGTCTGATTCTGGAACAACAACGAGACGACCTTATAGCTTTGAATAACATGGAATTCAAACAGTTGCGCCTATTATGCAAATAAAATACCTAATTTAAATTACTCCTCCCTAAATTTGAGTAGTACCTGAAGTAAGAAAGATCTTGACTCTTCTACGCGAGAGTGGTTGTCTCTCTTACCTGTTACGTAACCATCCTGGACAAGGTCATCCACGTCTCTGGTTGCCAGCACCATCATGATCTCGTCGTCACTGACTTGACCGTCGCCGTCCACGTCAAACTCGCTCACGTCTCGTTTACCTGGTGATGGAAATAGTTACGGTTATATTGTTTGGCTTCACAACAAGTGTGGTCCAAATCGTGGTTAGACTTCAGCTAGCCTTACTAGGACTAGGAGATACACTTCGGTCGTAACCTACCCCTTAATATTTACGTTCATAACAAATGGCGTTCTCTCAAACAATTTCACAATATACCCCTTGTCACGAGAAATGCGCTTACCGGATTTAATTGCATCTCCAACCTTTTTGACAGTTGAGACTACCTTCGAAGCGACGCGTCTGACGGCACCTCCAACTGTACGTACAATACTCCTGAAACGAGGGAAACGAATACCCCAGGAATCGGTTCCGGGCAGGGCCACCATGGCAGTCAGGAACAGGAGGACGAGGGCGATCTTCATCTAGGTACGAGTACATGTAAGATATTTTGGAATGATCCATTTTAGAGTTGTGAGCACTTTGTCCGAGCAATTTAACAACACGTCATTAAAATGACACGTCCTCAAATTACCAGTTTATGATTAGGACGAATCCAACAAAACCAGGTTATCCTGACATCTTAAAGGACAATATGTAATTTACTCAGAGACCAGTAATTACACCGTCTAGGCCTAATTGTTAATGAACACTGGACAGTGGATCACTATGATATCATTTTGACAATAAGTTAATGAAATTCCGTTGACACTGACTCTTGTAAATAACAATGATGTTGATGTCAGTTTATTACATCACAACTCTGCCAACTACAGCCAATGTAATATATATTGGTTAAACACGTCCAACTGTAGGTACCAATTTAGACACACACATAAATATTTTCTTGAAGTACATTTCATGTTTGCATTGGACTGAGATAGCAGAGGACGAACAGGATAAATATTATGCACGTTCATAAAAAAGACACCTACCTTTGCAGTTCTGGATATCAGTGGACAATGTTGTGGATGGACTGGTACATGTCGAGTATATATAGCATGGATGTGTTGATGGTCACACGCACCACATCCGGATGCAATGATCTTTCTGACATTATCTCGCCAGCCATCTGACAACTCTCACCTTCATAGCGTGGGACTGGCATTGTGATTCACATGTGTCACAAAGATGTATCCTGATTTAATTTGCTTATGAATCACTATCCAATGGTGATGAGGCCAGATGTTCGCGAAAATGTGAGCCTATCCTGCCCCAGCCGGTGTCACCCGTCACAAACACATGAAAAGCAAGGGCCCACCTGAACAAAACCCAATGGAACATATGGTACAAGTCATAATAGGTTATTGCATCGGACTTCATTTTTTGTCACCGATGCATTAAATCTGGAAATGTCCTAAAGATATCTTCGATAAAACTGTTTGAAATCTTTACTAATGCCCTAAATACTGATAAAAATTTGAGCAATAGTTGTATGCCGATGTTTGAAATCGTGGTAGAAAGACCATTCTTAATTGTTCCTCAAAGTGCGATTTGTGGAAACCAAAGGTTTGAGCTGTTAGTACAGTCAAGTCTCGTTAATCCGACACTCGTTAATCCGACAATCGAATTTATCCGACACTAATGATGGGAACCGATTAAATCAGTGCTATTTAGACCCGTTAATCCGACAGTCTCGCACTCCGACTCCGACACACCTAATTTGCAACGAAATACCGAAATCACTCATTAATCAGTCTCGTTAATCCGACACAGTGATCAGCGTACTCCGTGGTCATCTGCCCGCGAGTACACAGCCAGTGTTTTGATGCGAGGCGAGTCGGCTGGTAGCTGCATATTACAAAGCTGCAGCGATAAACTTGCTTAACAATAAACAATTAATGCTTTAAATAAAGAAAACAGGATAATTCACATGCTTAGATTACCTCAATCTTATTGAAATCAGATACAAGTTCTCGCTATCGACGAGGACATCCCATTACAGGTCACGTCAAAGCAACCTTTCGCGAACATATTCCGCCAACAATTTAACATAACAATATGAATATATACTTTATATTTTTTATAACGTGTTTGAATCCTTATCTATCGCGTAGTTGTCCGATTTTCGATCACGAACGTTGATACTACTAAATTTCGTTTATCCGACATACTCGTTAATCCGACACAATCATATGCAACCATCGATGTCGGATTAACGGGACTTAACTGTATATTAATCGACAGGTGAGGTGAGGTGAGGTGAGGTGAGGTGAGGTGAGGTGAGGTGAGGTGAGGTGAGGTGAGGTGAGGTGAGGTGAGGTGAGGTGAGGTGAGGTGAGGTGAGGTGAGGTGAAATGGGTTTAACATCGCGTTTTTCGTTATCAAAGGAAAGTTGACGGTTGGAAGTCAAGTTAAGTTTTTATTGCAGAAATACTGAAAGGTCACAGGCATACAGTACAAATATGTGTGGATAGTAGATTTACTGAAATAATGCTTAATTTTATCTGATAATCGACGTGATGATTGTGAGAATATGCGGGAAATATCCACCTGTGCATGAAGTAGACTTGTCCGACATTGTCGAGGTCGGATTCTATTGAGGGAGTCATCATTAGTAGTATAGTGTCACTAGGCAGGAGCTGGTTTTGGTTGATCCGGTTGATCCAGGCGAATGCGAAGGTGATTGGTTGATCCAAGTCACGTGATCGGATAGGATGACTCATGCATCTACAGCGCGTCGGGAAAGGGTGGGGAATGAAAGGTGTGTGTGTTTATAAGGCAGAAAAGAATTCATAAGAAAACAAAAGTAAAAGGTTATGAATAGAGCTATGCGTATAGCGTGCTGCCCTAAATAGACACGCAGCCCAGTTTGAATCGAGCGCGCTTGACAACTCACGTAGCCTCGTCGTTTAACCCGCGCTCCCTAGAGCCTGGTTTGATGAATGCAGGGTGTGTGTTGAAAGTACAAGTACCACAATAGAGACGGGTTATGTCAACACGATATACGCCGGGTAATGTAGGAAAAAAAAATGTACGTCTAGCTGGATCAAATTCATCTTGTACGGTCTACACGTTGTACACCACGAACGTTAGACAACCTGTATGGAAAAAACCATAGAGACAAAGTAGATAAGACTATACAATCAGCAAGCTAGCGGTGTCGTTTAATTACATTTAGCGCGCAAGAACGAGGTAGTCACGTCACCCTGCATTGACTATGACGCTGAAGGCAGCCGGATTTCGAAACACCCCGCGCTGCGTACTATTGTGAACCATTTGTATAGAGGGCGTTCACTTATTCAGCCCTGTCCCGACTTGCATAGCTGATGTTTCAACGCTAGCGTTTCCATTTAACGCGATCACAAATAAACCGTACGGTTTGAGTTTTAACCGTGTAACATGATGTGCACAGTTTTACTTCAGAACGTGCTATTTTGACAATAGATAGTTAGAACCATGTCTATGTTCAATATAAAAAAACTGATGAGTACACGTAGCAGTGTGACGGCACGAAGCTAGGTTTGTTGGGAAAGTGATGGAAGCCATCTATAAGACATTTCATGTTTACAATAGTCACCCTTAATTCGAAGAGAGAACAGAGTTTATCATGGAAAAATGTTTCACGAGGAAAATGTTTCATTGGAAAAATATGTCGAAGCAGGTTTATTCATATCTATAATGACATTACTTTCTCCTATAGACTCGCGTGTTTAGACATGTTTGAACACGTCTACCACGTCACGTGTGCATCACGTGACTAGACCCGCAGTATATGAAACAGATTTGAACCCAAAGTGAATCATTTACAGCGCAGAGACCTTCCATACCACACTGAATGCTTTTCACTTTGCTCGGTGTTATCGCTTATTACCTAGAAGATCACAGCACTTTCCTTGAGTCATGGCAACGAGCAGTACAAGTTCATCTACGGGATCCACAAAGCAAGCAGTGGGTTCATCAGAAGAACACAGAGAGAGTATGTTTCATATCGGCAGTAGTCGCTACATCAAGGCTACCCGTTGGAGTGGAGAGTTGAAAATAGACATTCGTCAATACGAATGGAGTGCTGAAGGCATACTCTATCCCACCAAGGCAGGTATTTGTTTATCTCTCGATCAATGGGCGCAGCTGAAGGTTATTGAAAAGACTGTGTCAGACTCGTTAAGTCAAATCCTGAACAAGGAAGATTGCTCTCTCTGTCTACCGTTAGGGTGTAACGTTTTCCTAACCATGAACGCGCCCAACAAAGTCGTGGATATACGGCAGTGGTGGCTACCCGATGGCGAACGGGAAGTAAAACCGACGCGCAAAGGCATGGCTCTTAAGCCAGAAGAATGGCGTCAGCTGCTCAAAGTCAGGGCGCTACTGGATGACTGTATGGCATACAATCAACGCAGTATGTGTACGTTATAATGAACTGTGACTGTGCAGACTATACGTTGACTGCTTCATGATATCATTTTCTAAATATAGCAGATATAAAAAGAAAAGTACACCACGCATACTGTTTCATTCAGGCATGAGACTTCCTTACGAGTCGCATCCTTCCCTGCATGCTAGCCGAGAAAGAAAACTACCATCCTATATAGAATGTCGAGTGACAGAATGACTTTCTTCACCTGGAAGTACGTGCAACGCGAACCCGATCGAATCCACGAAACCGTCGTTATACAGTCGTCTAGATGGTTTCAACATCGGGAACATTGTATACAAGATGCCGAGATGAAAGTCCCCAACGAGGATAAGAAGTTAAAACGAGTCATCACTAAGAAGATGAAAGCTATCGTCGTAGATGAAGTGGAATCGGTTGAAGTCACTGACTACATGTTGTCGTTACTGACGCTATGCTATACTGTGGAACTGTGTAAAATTATCAAACGACTCGCCGTCCAACTGTGTTTCGGTTGCATGTTTGAACAAACTGACAGTCAATACCATACTTGTCTGGACTTGTCTGACCAACACAAAATACACCAATACATAAATACAGCCTTAGACGAAGTGAATGACGATCGTGTGATTGATCAATGGATTCGATTCATTCACGAAGACCCAAGCTTAAGCAGCATGTCTTCCCACTCTGTCTGTCAGTATCGGTGTAAGGACCATCTGGACACTCACTTCAAAACGGGTGACTGGTTAAAAGACATACAGGACCGTGTATGGAAAATGTTGTATTTAGAAAGAGCATTCCGATGAACGGTATGCTGTTGTATATAATCCGAAGTAGCATCTCAATAGCTGTACACTCATGTTTGCCTTGTATGTAATAAATAATAGTATTGAACAATGCATGTGTCTGTTATCATTATTGTGTATATAAAGAGAGTGTGCGCGGATGGGGCGGTCGCAGTTGAGTTTACCTCAGGAGACAGAAACATGTCTAGTAAGTCACATGTAACACCGTCGTCGTCTCGTCAGAAAGAGTTAGAGAGCTATTACTTTAATCCCAAGTCCCCGGGTGCGTATTACGGTGTCTCCAAATTTCAACAAAGTTTAAAAAGACGTGGGAAAACGGTTGGCGTGTCCAAGGTAAAAGCCGAATTGAGCAAGCACGATGCTTACACGCTTCATAAGTCGGTGAAACGCAAATTTCAACGACTCAGAGTACTCGTCAACCGAATAGATCAGCAGTGGGATGTCGATCTGATGGACATGAGTCGCTATGTTAAAGTGAACGATGGTATACGTTACGTGCTGATAGCCATTGACATTTTGTCGCGCTATCTATGGGTAGCCCCTTTAAAAAACAAGAAACCCGAGTCCACTGTCGAGGCATTCAAAGACATTTGGTCGCACGGTCGCAAGCCACAAACCATCAGAGTGGACAAAGGTACGGAATTTAAAGGGGCATTCCAGGATTTTATAGAGCGCCAGTCGATCAAACTGTTCGTCACTCAGAACGAAGACATTAAAGCGAATTACGCCGAGAGAGTCATTCGAACGTTGAGGTCACTCATAGCGAGGTATCTGACACACAAGAACACCGAGCGCTATGTGGACGTGCTGTCCAATCTAGTGTACAATTACAATCATACCGTACACAGAAGTTTAGGCGAGTGGGCTCCTGCAGAT